AAGCAGAATCGGAAACAGAATCGGAATTGATACAATTCAAACCCTACACATTATGCTTACACGCTAATTTGCCCTGTTTAGTAAATCTGGCCCTAGGTGTCACGACAATAAAAACATGTTGTTTATGTCTTTAGCAAGCATTTTTAAGCTAACCACTCTTTACACAAACATTGTTACATCAGCTAAAAGTATAATGCCTATAAAAGTACTGAATGATTAGTAAACATTTATAAACATTTGATAAATATAGAAATTTGTTTATATAAATAAAGTTATCTCTTATGTCATCCTGGTATCCCAGACTCACTCTCTCATTTCATACAAGCCGCAGCTGCTGCCATTTAGTGAGGATTGTTTTGTACACTGTAATGGATTATTAGATAACTGCACCAAACTGCTAAGATCTTAAAACAGTTTCATCTTAAATCAATATATTTTATCGCCTTAATTATTTATGTGGTGAAATGTTGTGTGATAAGTAGTATGACTGCACCGTGTCCCTTAAATGTCCGTCTAGTTTGAACTTGTTGCTTGTTGTTTTTTAAAGCAGTAGTTTGAGCTGCTTTCTTCACTGAAGCTTTGCGTTCAAATATTTAAACTCAGATCAATGTTTCGTGTTGTTATTGCAAAAATCTATATTAATAAAGAAATAAAACAATTGTGAAGACTTAGAATGAAAAACAAGACAGAGGTTTGTCTTTGTCTTGCTTTTAATTTTCTTTTTAAAAACTAATAACACAGGCTCATCCGGGTAACTAAAGTCGGTGCTTTGCTGTTCGGGTCAGGCTGCTGATAAGCCCGTTGGGCTTTATTCTGTGATAACAACTGGCTGGAAGTACAGTATCCCTTACTTAACAAGCACATTATCCCACATTTCTAGCTATGCGAATATATATTAACTAATGATTTGTTAGGCATTATATGTTTGTTAATGATTTAATGAAAGTTATTATTGTCACACCCCTGGACTGTTTGTGTGTGCTCTGCGTGACCCAGTTTCTGTCTCTAGTTGTCATGGATGGAGGATCCCTTGTCTCCGCCTCCAGCCTCTGAGTCCCAGACTCTGCCTTGACCCGTCGACCCAGCGGCTCTACCATGGCTCCTAGCTACCTCCTCTCCGCTGTGGCCCATCAGTCCACCGGCTCCACTGGGCTCCCTCGTCTCTCCACCTCAGTCTTCTGTCGCTCCGGCTCCACCGCGGCCTTCCGGATCCCCGCCTCCGTCTCGGTTGCCTGAGCCATCTGTTCCACCTTGGCCCTCCGGATCCTCCCCGATGCCCTGGGTCATCGACTCTCCGTCTCTGCCACGGGCTCCTCTTCCACCTGCTCCGCTGCTGTCGGTCGGCCCCCTGGAGTCGTCAGCTCTTCCTCCATCATGGCTCCTCCCTCAGTCGGCTCCACCGTGGCTCACCATCAGGGCTGTGGCCTGGGTCCCGCCTGGCTCCTTCTGCTCCAAGTTCCTCCTGTCTCCTCCCTGGCTCCTTCCTCCGTCTGGTCTGCTCTGGCTCCTCCTGTTTCCTTCCTGGCTTCTCCCTTCATCATCTCCACCATGGACTCTGTTTACCGTCCTCCTCCCGGTTGTCCGTCCTCCACTCGAACCTCCTCCCAAGTTCCCCTCCGTCCCTTCCTTTGTTGGTCCTGCGGTGCGAGGACGCGCCTTCTGGGAGGGGGACAAACTGTCACACCCCTGCACTGTTTGTGTGTGTTTTTACCCCCATGTGCTCTGCGTGACCCAGTTTCTGTCTCTAGTTAATTGTCATTTGGTTTAGGTGTGTCTTGTTAATTGTCCTCGTTTCCCAGTTTATTTAAGCCCCAGTCTATGCAGTCTGTGTTTGGCGGGTCTTAAACATCATGTTCGTGTGTCCAAGCTGTTTGTCAGGATCATGGACCTGTTTTGTTGTGTTTTGCCAGTCTTTGTTCCTGGTTTTCCTCATATGGTCTCTTTCCTGTCCTCGTTTAGTTTAATTATGATTCCTGGGACCTGTGTTTGTTAATTATCCCCAGTATTTAAGTCTTTGCCTTTGCATTCTGTGTTTGTCGGTTCTACTCGTTACGTTGATGTGTTTCCTGCTGTCTCCAGTGTTTATGTACCCTGTGTTCCATGGATTAAAGACTGTTTCGTTTATTTCTCGTCTCCATCGTTCCTCGCCATCACAGAGTGTGACACTGTTCCTTGTGTGGATTACCCCTTGTGTTTTGGATTTATTAAAGGGGTCATATGATGCTGCTAAAAAGAACCTACAGCGAGGATAAAAGTTACGCCTTCTTTCTTTGCTTGAACATTTGGGCGGCGTTATGCAAATCTTCCCACATAGTGACGTAGGTATGTGGGGGCGTGTTAGAACGAGCCGTTTTAGGTAGGTGTGGCTGACTCTTAACTTTTATAAAGAATATCTCTTTGGATTTGAGACTTTAGTCTTTGCAACTTTACAGATCTTCTTTATGCACCAAGAGATTGTAACACTCCAAAGAGAAAAATCGCATCATATGACCCCTTTAAAGACTGTTGCTTTGATCCACATCTCCGTGTCGTTCCCTCCTACACAGTGCTGACAATTATGAAGTATTTCTGTATTTACTTCAGCTTTTGAAAAGCTACTTTACAAATAAACATGGTTTTCTCTTCACCTGTTATTATGGTGGTTATCATCAGTATATTTATATGAAAATGGCTGTTGGATTTACCTTTTTTCTTTGTTTTGTAAATTACAGATTTAAACTGTAATATTTACATGTTGTTCTGTAATGTTTTTGTTGTTTTTTTTTTTTTTTTTTACAGTGCAGGTCTCCCAAGCTGTTTTATTATATTTAATATATTAAATATAAATGATGTCCCATTTCTGATATAAAAAGCAGCATGTTAACAGTGGGAAATAAAGTTGGTTTAAAATATATATACTGTGTACTTTATCTGAGTGAATGTTTTTTTTTTCCCAGGGCTATTCATCCATTGCACAATGGCTAGCAAAGGTATAAAAATGTATCAAATAAAACAGAGATCATTTTGTGTTTGCTTAAGAGTCAGTGACTAAGAAAATATAATGAATGGAATGAATTCTCTTACAGGCACCAAAAGAAAGCATAATCATGAATCATCTGACTCAAGTACAGAATCACCACTGACAACAGGCAAGTCAATTCTGAATCTGTTCACCTTAATATACCCCTACTAGAGTACATATGAAGAGTTCAGATGCAAAAGCCTCTAAGTGCCATCTGAAATTTTCATCTAAAATGAGGATTTTTAGCAGGCTCCTACGTTTATGTTCAGTTATTTCACTTTAATTGTATAGAAAAGGACCTATACATTGCCATTACAGTAAAATTACTGAACCTAAACAGAGGAGCCTGATAAAAATCCTCATTTTAGATGAAAATTCCAGACGGCACTTAGAGGCTTTTGCATCTGAACTCTTCATATTCACTTGGTAGCTTAAGTCAAGTTACTGCTATTTATATATCACTTTATACAATACAGATTGTGTCAAAGCAGCAAAATTAAATTCTGCTGTTAAACAGCTTTAAAATGAGGTCTAAAATTTCCTTATTTAATGTGTGCATTAAATAATCCCCATTGTGATTCTCCTCTTCTTCATTGTGCACAGATATGGAGATCATGGACAAGGCAAAGCAAATTATGAAAAAAGTCACTGATAACTTAGTCCACACAAGCATTATGCACAGAGACATCATTTCAAAGATAAACAAAATTAATATTATCAGTAGGAAGAAGGCAGTTATTGGGATTTTTGGAAAATCAGGAGGAGGAAAGAGCTCCCTATTAAGTGCAATTCTAGGGAAAAGGGATCTATTGCCGTCTGGTTGTTTTGGTGCCTGTACAGCTGTTATGACTCAAGTGGAAGCCAATCTGACTGACTCCAACTGCACAGCAGAGATTGAACTCATCTCTAAAGAGGTTTCCTCATTTATCTTTTCATACCTTTAATTCAGGGTTCCTCAAATCCAGTCCTGGAGTGCCACTGCCCTGCAGAGTTTAAGTCAAACCCTGATCAAACTCACCTACTTGTGATTGTCTAATGATCCTGAAGATGTGTTTGATTAAGGTTGGAGCTAAACTCTGCAGGGCATAGGCCCTCCAGGACAAGATTATTATTGCAAAATATATTACAATTATTATTGTACAGTCATGGTCAAAATTATTGTCACCCTCGGTCACCCCAGATTTACCTCTTATTTTGACATAGGCAAAAAAAATTAAAAATGGGGGCCCCCCTTCCCTATTAATATATACTATTACCACCTCAAAACAGAAAGTAACACCCCCCCCACCCCCTAGAATGCCTATGCATAAATCTGGCACTGCCCTTGGTAAATACAAACAGAGCAGCCTATGAAAATAAATCTGCATTTTTAACCTTTTTGATTTTTTTTTTTTTTAATCACAAAGCAATACCTGCCAAATAGTGAGTTAGTAACCAGTGTACGTTAGTAACCAGTGAAAGTGAACCTTAATGTAAAGTGAACACATGTGAATCATTTATTAATGAATTACAAACATTAGTAACCTGTAAAAGTGAACCTTAATGTAAAGTGAAGACCTGTGAACCATTTATTAATGAGTTACAAACGTTAGTGTAACAAAGTTAGAGGGAAGAAAGGAAAAAGTCGGAGACGGCGTGACTGAGGCTCGTGGTAATTTATTCAATTGACTGAAAATAACAAAACAGGCAGGCGCTCTGGCGCTTCAAATAAACAGAACTAAACAGCACTTCAGTGATTTCTCTAGCCCACAGGCA